GTGTGAGCGGTCAGCTCAGTGGCCCCAAACCCAACAACAGATGCTAGCATCGCACGTAAACATGAAACACGTTTTCATTTTTTTGAAATGTTTATTCATGGCCAGAAACCACATCTGAATATGCCGGGTGTTAGAGAGTTAAAAGGTTCCCTGGGCAGTTTTAGAAAATGAAATGATCATCTCGGTCTCCTTCTGCGTGACGCACTATAGATTCTAGAACACTCCGTCTGTGTTGTCTCAGCTGAGCTCCTCGGCAGCCGCATTTTCCTTCTAAAAAGAGGAGACAGGTACGGAGAAATGATAGGATTCGCCTAAGGTCACAGAGCTTGTTGGATTCGGTACACGCTGTAATGTGCTCATTTCCGCGTCTGTCTCCCTGACGAGCTTCGAGCGTCGACACAAACAAGGCCGCTCAAGGACTTCTGGTCTCCGTCTGCTGCTGTCAGAGACGGCTCCTAAGTGAGTCAGGGAAAGTGTTCCTGTCCTTGTGAATGGAGCCTTGTCAGCCACGCAGAAAACATAGCAAAGAGCTCTCGTGGGTGATGTCCCTCCTGCACGGTACTCAGAGGGAAGAGGTAGTTGTCTGATCCCCATTTCTTCAGGAAGGTGTGTTCCCCGCGCCGTGAAACCTTGTTCCCAACATGTGGGGTTTGACGCTTTGACTCAGTTTGTTTTCACTTCCTTAATACACCACCTCCTTTTGAATTCTCTCCACAAACTTGATTTCTTACAAGACTCTACTTATGATTGAGAGCATTTAAATGAAGCATGACATATGTCTTTTAAAGACTTAGTAAATATTCAGAAATAAATCATTTGCCCATGTAACATTTCTTCGCTAAAACTCATTTCAGCAAACAGTCACCCTATAGTAAGACCCGAGAAACTTATTATGGACTGACTAGATTAGCAGATAGAAGAGCTTCTAAATCTTTCACATTGACACCTCCGTGGATGAAATGAGATTTAATGTTAATTAAAGGTCTGTTATTATTTCCCTAACAGTTGGAGAAGACAGCAGTAATTCTCCTTTTAAAATCATTTGAAGAAGGAATCTGTATAAAATTGAAAGCCAGTTTTTATTAAACAGGACTCTATCCAAAACACTTGAGATTTTATAGTAAAGCTTAAATAAATATTTCATGTGCCGCCTTAAGATGCAGTCATTTGCAGTCATTTCAGTGCTCTGATTTCTGTTTGTTTTTAGATTTGGGAAAGCCACTATTTTCTGTAACGATTTCTATCCGGGAACTGTCATTTCAGCCCAGTCTCAGAAGGCTGATCTTTATAAATAAATTAAGTGAGATAATAAGGCAGAATTTTACTTAACTCTTATTTTAGGTAGATCCCTTTAGACGGAAACGAGGTTAAAAGATCCCTCTGCCCTCACTGAACTGTGAGCAGGGGTCTCTGGAAAGGCCACAGTGGGGATTCCTCCTTCATGGTGTTTTGCTTTCTCGAGTCTTGTATGTATATAGTACTTCCTCCACAGACGGAAGGCTTGTAACATGCATGCATTGATCAAGGTTACCAGCACCATCTTTCCAACACCACTTGCTCATTTTGGTCACGATTTGTCACTCTTGAAAGGCCTTCATACTTTCCCACAATGCTGTTTGCTTCGCCTGGGAAACTGGAGGCATCATGTGACTTGGCTTTTGGTGTAATTGCTTTTTGGTGATGGTCCAGAGCCAAATCTGCAGCCGCTGGGTCAGAGTGTGCGGTACAGCTCCGTAGATCTGAGCATTAGCGTGACCTCGCCCTGCCTTGGTAAGCCACCGGTGGGGCCGCTGCTCCAGATTCTCCCGTAAGCCTCCAGAGAAGATCGAGCCTTCACTTGATGATGCTTGGACCCGCTTACCAGAGTCGTACTGTGGGGTTTTAAAGAGCTCTTTTTTAAAACCGCCCTGGGTGAATTGGCTAATGTCAGCTTCTTCTCACATACATGTCCTGATGTGGGGTGGACTCTTTGAAAGGAGAGATGGAGGGTCAGCGAAAGAGAGGGGGACCCTGAACCAGATGGATTGACACAGTGACTGTAGCAGTGGCCTCAAGCAGGTCAGAGACGGTGGGGATGGCACAGGAGAGGACGGCGTGCCAGCCTGTTGTCCATAGGGCCGCTATGAATCGGAGTCGACTCAATGGCACCTGACACAAATCTTTGAAAGGAGTGCTTTGCAGCCCACTCTACCTGCTTACCTGTATTAGCCTCAATGGTGACTTTGAGGGCCCGTCTTGACTTTATAACTGTGCCATTTTTTAAAATTTATTTTTCATTTCAATGAACATCTACAGAGATTTTGGAATTCCATTCATTCATTGTTGCACCCTTCTCCCTGCCCCTCTCCCCCGCCCCCCCCCGTTTGCTCCTCTCCTTCAAAAGCAAAAGAAAAACTCCCTCATTGGTATGCAATCCCCCACACACATCCCCCAATCACAAATATAATCTACTCTGCAACCCTCATTCTGTACTCTTATGATAAACATAATGCCCTAAAATATAATACTTTTAAAATATTCTCTCCCCCAAAGACTTCAATGCCGTAAACATATTTCATCCAGTTTTTCTCAGTCTTACCCCCATCCTGATGTCAGCCTCACTCTACAACAGTGGCACCATATAGCATTTGTCCCTTTGTGACTGAGATACCTCACTCAGCATAATGTCCTCCAGGGTCACCCATTTTGAATAATATTGCATGAGTTCCTTGTTTTTCAATGCAGCATAATATTCCATTGTGTGAATATACCACAGCTTCTCTACCCATTAGCAAAATTTAACAGAACAGCAAGCAACAAATGCTGGCAAGGTTGTGGAGAAACTGGAACCCTTATTCACTGTTGCTGGGAGTGTAAAATGGTGCAACCCCTGTGGAAGGCGGTATGGCGCTTTCTCAAAAAGTTGCAAATAGAAATAGCATTTGACCCAGCAATTTCACTACTGGGAATATACCCCAAAGAGACCATAACTGACATCCAAGCAGATGTATGCACACACATGTTTATTGCGGCTTTGTTCACAATAGCAAGGAGTTGGAAACAACCTAAATAACTGTGCCATTTAAAAGACGTGAGTCCTTGATCTGTTTGGAAAAATTCCCATGGCACCTGCTGTGCACTAATTACCCTGCTGGTTGTGGGAAGAACTTAACACTTGCTCATTCACAGGTCCATTCACACAGTGGAATACTACGCAGCACTCAGGAGCAATGACTTTGTAAAGTCTTTTACCTAACTTGGGAGGGACTGGAGAGCATTATGCCGAGTGAACTAACTCAGTCCCACACGGATGAATATTGTATAAAATCGTTACTATCGAATGCGTTTAAGGATGCAGGAGGGGTGTGAGAGGGTGGAAGCAGAGGGATGAGGATGTGCAGGCGTGGGGAGAATTAATCATGGGGTTGTACAATTTGTTGGGTGGGAAGATGAGGGAAATGCAAAGAATTTGTTCTTAAAAACAATGTATTTGAATTTTCTAAATAAACTAGTTGTTGTTGTTTGTTATTAAGTCCCATCAAGTCATAGGCGACTCTTAGCGACCCTATGAACGAAAGACCTGAACACTTGTATAACTTTGGTCATTTCTCCATATTTATAGAGTTTTCCGGAGGCGAGCTATTTCGGAAGTGGATGCTACTCCTGCTTCCAAGCTTGTTTTAATCGGGAAGCTTCACCAAACACTGTCCACCATGGGTAACCATTATCGCATTTGGCACATCAGTGTCACAGGGTTCAGCTTCACAGCAACCACGAGTTACCTCTGTACAACAATACACAGACCAATGCTATACTACTAAGAAAACTAGTAGAAAATTTTTTTAAAGAGTAGTTCTTAATGCCCACTGAGGCTCTTACAATGAAACTAGTGAACACAGACAAAGTTCTTGCCCTCTGGTGCTTATAGTCTACTGGGAAAGAGAGAAAATGAGTGAGTGAAAAATCAAATTACGACAGCTGATGCACAATTCTCTTACAGAGGGGGCTTGGGGGCAGGGGGTCGGTACTCATTTGGGTGATCAGAGAGGGCTGACCCGAGGGTAAAAGGGCATCTCTCTTGTCGAGTGGATGGGAGAACACTGGGAGAGTGGACTGAGCGAGCTCAGCCTTGTTGATGGAAGGAATGGAGCCTGACGTCCTTGATTTAGAACAGTCGGAAGGCCTGTACGTGCAGGGCATGAGGGAATGAGAGTTGGAGGAAGTGAGCTGAAAATAGGGAAGGCTCCTTCCAGGTCATGTGAGAATCCATCAGCCATAGCAGGGTGTTTCCATTTTAAAATCAGGGTCAGTGGCGAGCCTCTGGGGGCTTACGCACAGGAGAGAGGTGATCTAGTTTCCTGTCTTAGTCATGAAAGCCAGTCCTGGTGGTTTGTTAAAACGTGCACCAAAAGCAGTAAGAAGGAGGGAGGCCAGGAGATGAGTTAGAACACCATCTCAGCCACATGCACGTGAAGGATGGACAGGTGTCAAGGCCACGGAGACGAGCAAGTAGAGATCAGGCAACCAAGTGGACAAGAAAGATGGTGGACAGCGGTTAAAATCGCACTGCAACCATGTGGCCTAGAAAGCCGGTGGGCAGTAGTTAGAACACCACGGCCACGTGGACCAGAAAGATGGTAGACGACAGTGAGAACACCATAGCCATATGAACTAGAAAGATGGGAGACAGCAGATAAAACATCATCCCAAACCACGTGAATGAGAAAGTGGAAGCCTGGATGGATTTATCATCCACACTAACCTAGAGGAGAATGGCTCCAGATCAGAGGAGAGAAAGCAGATATATACAGGCAGGAGCTGGGAGTACTGAGAGGTGTCTGGGGTCCTCTGCCCCCCAGGTCCTCCACACTGGATCTGAGATGTCTTTAGAGGTTTCTTTGTTCAGGTGACCACTTTACAACCCTGTTCTCCACAGGTGCCTTCTTGGCAGTTCCACATCCGCGCTGTGCACTTGGATGAGAGAGCACCCCACTTACCCGTGTCCGTTTCTTCCCACGTAGGCTTTATGGCAGGCTCCCAAAGAAACCCTCCGATGTCCCAGTATGGACCTCAGCAGACAGGACCGTCCATGTCTCCGCACCCGTCTCCCGGGGGCCAGATGCACCCTGGCATGAGTAGCTTTCAGCAGAGCAACTCCAGTGGGACTTACGGTCCTCAGATGAGCCAGTATGGACCACAAGGTAACAGCACTGCCCCAGGCGCACCGCGGCCCTGGTTGGTGTTTGCCTAGCTCCCGGGGTCCTCACCGTCTTGACTTGCCAGCATCTTTCGGGATGCTCCTGTGTGTTATTTCTCGGTGCGGGAACTCTAGACTCTCATCTTGTAGGTGCCACAGGGCTGGGCAGAATGTATCAGCAGCACTGCGCACTAAACCCGTGTGTCAGACGGAGGTAAGTGCTTCTCTCACACAGGCTCACGAAGGAGAGAACTCCTGCTGGTGGAAAGGACACCGGGCTTGTCCTCACCAAGCTCTTGGCTTCGGCGTTGGGTTCATTTTGTTGAGTTCTGGTTATTTCATAGATTGACTTGAGTATCCAGAATTATGTGCAGTTAATCCTAGCCCCTCTGCCTGTGGGCGCGGCCCCGTTTGGGGTACAGCTTTCTTGGCTGTGTTACTAAGTCTTAAACCATTCATATCTGAGAGATGGAAGAGCAGATGAGGCACAGAAGAGATAGAGCTGAGGAAAGTCTGAAGTTCTCTGGAGATGAAGGAACCACTAGTCCCTCAGAGTGGGGACCTCAAGGACCTGAAGCTGAGACAAGGACCTTCCCCCAGAGCTGTTGCTGCTGCTGCTGTTGTTGTTGTTATGTGCCATCCAGTCGCCTGCGACTCACAGAGACCCTGTGTTCAATAGCCCTAAACCCTGCTCTATCCTGTGCCAGTCTTACTGTCTCCGACACACCCACTTCCATGACCCCAGTCACTAAGTTAATCCACCTCATAGAGGGTCTTCCTCACCTGCACTGTCCCTCCACCCTCCCAAGCATGATGTCCCTCTCCAAAGACTCATCCCTGCTTGTATCATGTCCAAAGTATGTCAAATGAAGCTTCAGAATCCTTGCCTCCAAGGAGCTGCCTGGTTTAACCCCTTCCAGGACAAACCTGTTTGTTTTCTTAGCAGTCCATAGTATATTCAATACTCTTCTCCAACACCACAGCTCAAAGGCATCAATTCTCCTTCTATCCTCCCTAGTCATTGTCCATCTCTTGATTGCAAAGACCATGTCTTGTATCAGATGCATCTTAGTCTCCAGAGTGACACCATTGCTCTTCAGTACTTTGGACAGGTGAGACAGGAAAAAACCTTGTCCTAGAACCAGCACCCTGAATGTGGACTTCTGGCCTGCTAAACTGAGGGGAAATAATTTGTTCTTTTTCAAAGCCACCCGTCTGTGACGTTTCTGTTACAACAACATCACGTAGATCAGACACCATTTGTTCACTCCTTGGGGTGGTCCCAGCCATCTCCATGTGGTCTTCAAACACCCTTTCACGAAAGTCCTCCACCAGCTCCCGTCTTCCCACACAATACCATCCTGTTAGAAGACAGTGGGCCTAGAAATGAACCTGAACTTGCTTTCAGATGGGGCACTCAGGAAGCGGGGAGATTGGTGGAACCGCCCTGTTTCTGCTCTGTCTTCTTGAAGGTTCAGTCACACCTTGTCAGCACAGCCTCTTCTCATCCACGTTCCTGACCCCATATGCATAAATTCATTTTATTTTTTTCTGAGTCACTTTTTGGCAATGAAGCCTTTTAATTTAGCGGCTTCTTTATTTTTTGTTTATTTTAACTAGACATGAATGGGCAGTTTAGAGAGAATGAGATAACTTGGCCCATTTCCCAGAGTCTCCTCGCTTCTGGAAAAGTCAAGAACATTCCAAGTAAAGCTAATCCAAACCTCATAGGAGACTTAAGTCACTATCTCCTCAGCAAGCCGCCTTGGCCTGCGTTAAAATCAGTATTTCCTAGAGTACACCTCTATGCCTGCCCGACAAACCCAACTCCACTGAGGTTCATGGCGCTGTTCTAGACCCTTCCACAAAGATACCTCCCAGGCTTTCTTGGTCTGCTTCTCAGAGCCGTAGCCTTTCTGTCCCTAGAGCTCTGCATTCTGAAGATTACCTTGTGCTGTGTTGTCTTGCCTTTTGGGGACGAGTTTCAGGAGATGTGAAGCCCCTCCAGTGGTGCCAACATGGAATTTTCTTGCCTCACCTGGCTTTGGCGTGTTCCACTCCAGTTATTCCTGCTCCTCTGAAAGCTGTTAGAACACCCATAATTTAAAACTCAGTGCCAAGTCCACTCCTGCCACTCTCCGCTTGTGCAGAGTGGGAGGCAGGCTGGAATGGCCGCCTCAGCATGATTTATCCTGTCTTTCCCACATCATATATGTCTTCTGTGTTAGTGATTCCAGGGAGCGCTTGGTAAATTTAACAGCCGTTGGAAAAACCAGCTCCTGAGTTTGAAAAGCAAGCATGTCACCTTGATGATGCGGCCTGCCAGCCCGAAGCCATGGTTTATACAGGTGCCCCATATGCACGTGAAAGCTGGAAGTGTAACAGGAAGATGGAAGGAGAAAGGATGGAGCTGAATTACAGTGTTGGCAGAGACAACTTACGAGAGATAACATGCACGTTACCATGGAATGGTAGGTGAATGAACAAGAACCAGAATTTTGTCTCAGCCTAAGATGCGATGATGGAAGGACTTCATCCTGCTTACGTTGGAAAGACCAGTCTCCAGAAAACCACATCATGGTCGGGAATGTAGAGGGTCAGTGGAAAGGAGAGAAGTCCGTGACCTCCATGGAGAGGAAGGCCCGAGACACAGCAGAGATGAGAGGATGTCACAGGCCCAGGTATCGTCACGTTCTGACGTACGTCAGGTCACCCCAAACCAGCTCACCCGATGACAGCTAACAACACTTTGTGGTGTGTATGGAAAAAGGGCACTTTTGCTAAGAATGTGACCAGAGACAAGGTCAGAACTCTGTCCTCAGAATTGGGGCAACGGAAAGACTAGCATGAGAGGTCACAAGGGCTTTGGGTCATCTTGGAAATTGTTTCCTATCAGTGCTTGAATGCAGACTGCTAACTCAAACATAGACGTGGCACCCCTCAGCTGCTCCAGAGAAAAGGTCCAGTCATCCTGTCCCACGAAGATTCCAGCCTCTAACCGTACAGGGCTGTTCTTCTCTGTCTTAGAAAGTCACTGTGCGTTGGCATAGACTTGACGGAACACGCAACAGCTCTTTAAATCATTCCATTTCCAGCCTGCTCCTCTCCTGTTACTCAAAGAGGGAAGACTAAGCCTTGGATGGCTTGAGCTCTTATTTCAGAGCCTTGACTCTTGAAGGTTCTCATCCAAAAACTACCTTGGATGAGAATCAGAAGTTGCTTCCAGTTCTGCATCTTAATTTGGCTTCTATTCCTGGGCGTTTGAAATGAGCACAGCCCACTGGATCACCTGCCTAAGTTGTGGTTATATATATTCAAGAAGGTTCTGGGTTAGGATTCTACATGTGTGTGTGTGTGTGTGTGTGTGTGTCCAGGTCTAGAAAAACAAGGTTGATAGTAGAAACCATTGGAACAGAGGTGATGTCCTTCTAAGTCGGCACCCTCTGATGTCTGACACTGAAGTGGGAACGTCTCCATCCTCTTCTGTGTCCACTCTCAACTGCCCTGTGTACCCCAGGTCACATCTCCACTGCACTGTGCCCTGTGGGGCGTTGGCTCCTGAGCCAGCAGTCCCGGCTTCGTCTTTATAATCAGCATCTGAAGTGCTCTGTGTCCAAGTCAAAGCTGTTCACCTTTCCTGCTGTATTCTTCCCGGCAGGCACTGCGTGGTGGGACACCACCCTGAGATGTCTTGTTCTGTCCGATACATGCTCTTCCCATCGCATATCCCTTTGGTGACCTTTTGCACAGAGAATAGGCGATTTTAAAAATTCTTCCTCTTAATTAACAACTCAAGTGACTGGTAGAATGTTAAAGTCCCCCCTGCACGTTGTAAGGTGAGACATCCTGGAGCGTGTCGGAAGCTTGGGGCCCCAGAGGTCCTTGATTTCAGCCTTTTATTCCTTTCTTCTGATCCACATGGGTTTTTCCAGATCAGAGGGCAGTATCCCATGACTTCTTGTGGCTTGCCTTAATCACCAGGGAAAACACGTCCAGAATTGTGGTTACTGGTAGCGCTGGTAATGCTGCCTACTAGCCAGAAGGTTGGAAGTTCAAACCCACCAACCACCTCCTGGAGAAAGAGCAATGAAATCTCCTGCATCTGTGAAGATTAGCCAGCAGACCGGAAGCTCCCTGCCGCTGAGCTGATAGGAGCATGTAGTGACCCTGTATCAGGGTCCCGGCTGTAAATATGAACAGGGTAGGTTGTACCCTTTTATCCCGAGTGGCAACTCATGGGGTCAAAGTGCTGACCCTTTGGTTAGCACCTCACCACTTCGCCTGCAATGCCAACATAGCGAGCAGTCTTGGAAAGCCTCGAATAGTTTGCCTCTGCCCTCCGGGGTCACCAGGAGTCTGGGGTGATGGTAGTGGGTGATACAACCTAACATTTATTAGACAGGTTCATAAATCGGTGTCGTAGGTCTGGTTCTGGGGGTTTGGTGTGGGACAGTACTTTGTGATTTCTGGGACAGGTGAGGGACCTACAGCCCACACAGGTACACTGCCTGCCCCGGGGGCACCGTGCCTGAGTGTCAGGGCAGGCATCCCAGGCAGCTGGGGTTGTTCCTGCTGCAGGCGAGATGAGCCAGCATTTGCCCCGCGGCATGCTGACTGCAGACAGGTCCTGTACAGGCTGTATGAGGTGAGCCAGCGTGCACCCCATGGCATGCTGACTGCAGACAGGTCCTGACAAGGTGGGCCACTGTGCACCCCGGGACATGAGGGCTGTGGGCAGGCTCTGTGGAAGCTGTATGAGGTGGGCCAGCATTCACCCCATGGCACGCTGACTTCAGCTGGGCCCTGTACTAGCTGAACGAGGTGGGCCCACGTGCATGCACCGTAACATGCCGACTGTAGGCGGGCCCTGTACGAGGTGGCCAGCGTGCGCCCCGTGGCATGCCGACTGTAGGCGGGCCCTGTGAAAGCTGTATGAGGTGGGCCAGTGTTCACCCAGCATTCATCCCATGGCATGCCGACTGCAGGTGGGCCAGTGTTCACCCC